TGATGGAATGCATAACTTTTTTTGTTTCAACAACGTCTCACCCAGCACAGTGGTCGTAAACACTTAAATATATTTTACGTAGTAATAAAAATATAACTTGACATACGTATTTATAAATAATTTATATTCAAATTATATCATTTCTATGACCAAGGGCGGTGTAAGGCATGGACGACGTGGGCCACCGCCTATGCCTTGCGGTCAGAAGGGCCTCGCGCCTCAAAGGTTTATATTGTAGCCAAGTTCAGCCAACCAAAGGACACAATTTACTTTTTCTTCAGTTGAAGCCATGGGTCATGCGTAATTCTGAAAAAGAAGTATTTTTAAAGTTTCAAAAAATTATTAAATTATTGTGTTGAAGAGTTACAAAATAATTTTACTTAAAACTAGGTACATTAAGCTTTCTAATACTTTTTACAGATTTTTTACTACCACAAATACTAATAAAGTTATAAATTTTTTGAATTGCACATGGACTTTATGGACACCCTGTATTGTAAATGCCTCTATATTAAAGTTTTTCATTTATTAACATTGTTTATATTTCAATAAAAAATATTCTAAAAAGAATCGATGGAGTCAGATAATCTATTTTTTACCGTATTGTACTATTCATTAGTACACGGAAAACTACTAGTTTTCCATNTATTATACAGATTACTTTTATAAATATTTATGTTTTCTTATTAATAATAATAATATACAGAATAATACCAAAATATAATTTTTATAGCTCAAAAAATTGATTTTGAATATATCAACTAATAAAACTGTTTAAAATAATTTACTTTAATCTATATTAATATATAAAGTGAGAATGTTTTGTTTGTTTGTTTGCTGGAGGTAATCTTGAAATCTACTAAACTGATTTATTTTAAACTGATTATGCCATTAGAAAGTTTATTCCTTCCAGATGACCACAGAATATTTAGTATTTTCATATTAAAAAAGGAAAATGTATGAGAAAGATGTTTTTACTGCAGCATTTGTCTCACATCATCATCATAATCATATTATCCTTTATCTGCTCTGTTCAAGATCAATTTCTTCCTCCACCTGGTGAGCTTTCTTAAACTTATCTATTCAGTTTTAGGTACCCTATGGGAAACATGAACTATCATAAAGCTCAGACCCCTCACTCCTCTCTGATTCTGTCATTACATTCTATAATCCTCCAAAAAATATATGCTACTTTAAAACTTGGACTCTCACCCCTTCCATGATTTCATCCCCACAAACTTCCAAAGCCTTTGACTGACTTGGACCAAATTTTGTGTAGTTACTCTCTGTTGCCCTAAGGGAAACATACACTACCTTATAACAAGAGCAAATCAACCCTCTCCCTAAGTTCCCTGGCAATGTTGGACATTCTTTGTGACTTTTATAATAAAAACTTAAGTTTTTAATATGAAATGAGTTTCAAAATGAGTTTTTTTGTGGTGTGGAAAGAATATATGATCACATAGTATGATTATCATCTGTCAATTAATAATTGTTCAGTACATTTTAATTAAAAAATAAACATAATAAATACATACTCTTTATTCTTTTCATTCAGATTAGCTCCTTTCCTAATTAATGCTTCAGTTACTTGTTTTCTTTTTGGATAAGGTGAACTTATTCCACAATGCTATATAAATATTAAATGAATAAAAATATTTTACTAAAAATATTAAAACAAAATAATATATCATGTTATAACTATAGAAATATTAATTTTATAGAAAAATGAAACATTAACAAAAATTATTAATTACAATATGATATTTCAGTCAAGCATACTTTATTTTAAAAATAAGAAATTAAAATTATGAATATTATTACATTAGTATTAAAAAATACATGCTCTCTGCTATAAATCTGCTAAACATAGAAACAAATTCATAACAACATAATACAATAAAATAAAATCTACAAGAATTATTCAAAAATATTCAGAATAAGTAAAAATTTAAGTTAATGAATTTAAGATAAAAATTTATTTTTTCTATACTTCTAAAAGTGCAGATTTTCAGATTTATTATTATACTTTGTATAATTTTTCAATAAATCATAAATACTTCTATGTTGATTAAGAATAAATAACTTACTAAAGCAGTATCACCAGTGAAAGGATGTTTGAAATTAACTGTTTCTACAGTGAGGTATTTTTTTACTCTGGCTGGATCAGCTTGACGTGATGCTTCTAATAGACAATGACCTTTAAATTCATCTGTAATAATTGTTTTTATTGTAAAAAAGATTTTTATCATTAAATAATGACCTTTAAAAATATCCAAATTATTAATTTCAATATATAAAGCTTACATGATAATCTATCCTGCAATTCTCTTGTAGGTGCAACATCAATTGCACTTTTGGAATGACAATTCAATAGAGTAGGATCAGCACCATGACTAAGCAATAATGAACATACTTCTACTCTAGATTTTGAAGCTGCTTCATGTAATGGTGTAAATTGCCAAAGATCCATTGCATTCACATTTGCTCCATGCTAAAAACAAACAGTATATCAATTATATAAATATATAATTGAGAAAAATCTGTGTAAATAACTTATGTATTTCAAAATATTTAATAGTAAAGTAATTAATAAATTCAATTATAAATATTCATCTTCAAAAAGAAACAAGAAGAAAGAAATGTACAGTGAAATCACAATATTCTAGCATTATTCAAAATCAAACAATACTTAAATTTGTGCTTATTTGATCAATTTTTCAGCATAATTCTATTGCTTTTTTAACTTGTCTCATTTTGAAAACTATGAATCACTTTTGGTTTCTTACTTCTATGAAATGTAACCATACCATAGTTATTTATGCATGTCTGCATAAATAACTATGGTATGGTATAAAATTTAGAACCTTCTTTTATTCCAGAAGGTTCTAAATTTATTTAATAATTTATTTATTTATTTATAATTATTAATTTACTTAAGAGATGGCACCTAACGCCTACCTCTATTGTCAAATTACTTTATACTAATAATTTAATTAGCCATATTATAGCCCGATATTAAGGCGATCGTTTGGTGGTTTATTCTATAATTCTCGGGCTTTGTGTTGTTGTTATTTATAGACATGCACACATTTTATTATATCTGATTTTAGAAAGTAACAATTATTATTTTAGAACAATACATCAATAACATTTATTTGTGAATTATAAACTTTTAAGGGAATTATTATTTTATTATTTCAAAATAAAAATATATATACGGGTATACCTCGCCTTACGTCGGTAATTGGTTCCAGGAGAACGACTTAAGTCGAAAAACGACGTAAGTCGAATTTACTTGTCTCCAAATAGGACAAAGGATGGT